CCACCTGGCTTCATTAGGTCGAAGAAAAATGAATTCAAGACATATCCGTAAGTATGCACACGTGTTTCTAAATCTCATTTTCAATCCTAAAATATTAAAAAGAAGAATTTGAAAAAAAAGTTAGGTATTAAGTTTGTTTTATAGTGAAAGGTTCTTGCCATTCTGTCGTCACTATGCATCCAAATCACCACACTAACGGAAACTAACATGAAATTAATATTATAAGAAATAATTTAACTTTTGTGGATGTCACAGAGACAACACTACAGTAAAACGTGTAAAATATTTTCACGCTGTTAGTAGAAAATCTAAAACTTAATTTTCTAAGTTTTACCTGACTACTTGTTCCAAGTTTGAAATTTATTAGCCTGCAAATATATAAACTTATGACATTTAATGGTAAAAACTAGATAACCAATGGTATATTTTCTTGGATAAGTAATTTTCGATGGAACTTTCGAAACGCGTCATTTTAATTGGGTATTTGGAATTTGAAAACTCAGGGTTATTAATCCAAACTTACAAAGCTATCATTAATTTGAGGGAGGGCCGTCGTTATTCCTTTTTGTGCTCTAATTGAAGATTATTAAGATTTCTGTTATAAAACAATAAAATGAAGAACAAGAATATTGCAGAGAAAAGTAGGGAGAGAGAATTCTTATTGATTTGGGATGAATTACAATAGAATAGAACCCTCTATTTATAGGGAGAGGGTGACTTTGTCACCAAGCAATGAACCCTAGAATCTCTCTAAATATAGACATTCACCATAAATACAATTCTATTTATAACACTCCCCCTTGAATGTCTATTCAACAGATAATGTGCCTCGTTAAAACCTTAACTAAAATAAAACCCAGTGGTAAAAAAATTCTAGAGAAGGAAAAAGAGTACACATATCTACAATACGCCTTTTGGTTGCCTCGTTAAAAACCTTGCAGGGAAAACCCAGTGGGATAAAACCTTGTAAGGGAAAAAGAGTATAACGCGTATTAACTCCCCCCGATGAGAGTATCAATTCACATCCTTAAGCATTTGCATTCCTATCTTGTGCACCATCTTCAAAAGATCTTTGGTAGAGATTTGATGAACAAATCAGGCATATTAACTTGAATGAATATATTGCACCTTGAAATCATCATTCTTGATAGAGATGAATTGTCTTCATATATGATCTTGTTGGAATCGTCAGTTCAATATCTTCGCATAGAGGTGAAAACTCTTGCTATCATATTATCATGCCTATAGTTATAGCAAGATACATTTGTGCACAAATTGCACTTTGGATGTAGTACTTCATGACCAAGAATTATATATGCTTTAAGCAATTTAAATCCTTCATGGATTGTCATATAAGCTATATAGTAGACTTTAGATGCATATCAGGTTTTCATATCATGCTAGACATATAAGATATTGAAAACTGATTGCTCATACCATTGACTTTATACTTTCAAGTGTTTGAACTACATGTTCAAAATTACATGCCTTTCACATGAAACCAATTCTATTCGAAATTGTTTCTCCAGACTTAAGATCCTCATATATATTTAGCGCAATTATAGATGTCGTCAACGAACATTTTATATCGGTTTCAACATTTTTAATAAAGACATAACATAGAGATCTCTTCATTCATTTTAGGTACCTAAACCTCTCCTGAGATTTTATGAAGTATTATATCATGTGACCTTCTAGATCACTTGCCTCCTTTATTATGATCATTTAGATCATTTGCTCATCTTCTTTATGAAGAAGTTTATTTGAAACCGATTTGTCTATACGCTTTAAGCGTACCATAGACTTTGTCCTTCTAGGACTTAATATGAGCATTTGCAATGAGAATATAGTTACTTTCTTTGGGTCAGCAAATGCGTCTGGCATGCTTTACAATATATTGCAAATGAATTATCTTTTTATGAACTTCAAGTTCATACTATCTTGTTCTAGGGATCTAGATGTACAAATGATAATTCATTCCACGTAACTTTTTCTCAACTGTTTATCATGTCTCCCCCTCATGTTAGAAAAACTAACTTGTTTTCCTCAACTTTGAGAACCCATCTTTGTGCGTTATGGTATTAATCAAAATATACCCCGCACATCAATAATAATAAGATGGAATTATTTGGTTCCTGACCCTGAACCACTTATGAGGTGAGAAAATAATATACTTTCGTATATAACGTATATCAAACTGATATAGATAACTTTGTTCTCATAAGCAATTGTTTAGCTATTAAGTAGAGGCACTTAATAAATCATTTTGCTAAATCAACTGTGATGTAAACCAACTTATCAAGATGAACTTCTTGAATAGAAAATCTGGAAATTATGCTCGAAATTAAATTATTGAGCAAGTTACCTCGCAAAACATCATGTTGCGGGTTATTAATAATCGCACATGTAACCATCTCATAGATACATCTTATGTGGTATACATGGCAGGTGAATGGGGCCATATTCACCCTTGATATTTGTAGCATTCATGGGAATTCTTTCCCAATTTTAGTTGGTATATTTATTAATGAGAACGAGCAACATAAGAGAAATATTAAAGAACTTTCTAGTTCTTTAATATTTACCCATGTGAATTCTCTTTTGTTTTTGCACATCATACTTAAATTGATATGGGTAAACCAATTATGCCAACTGAATAAATTATCAATTTTGATAAACTTCAGATTTACACCATGACGTGTGCAATTATCAATAAACTCCAAGTTTATTATGATAAGGGTTTTTATATCAATAAACATCTCTTTATTGTGGCACTCTTTTGTTTGTGTAGTACAAACTGGAGAATAAAGCGGATAAATTTTTACATAAATATTACCCCGCTACAAGTTGTAGTAATAGAAGATATTAATTCTTTCCTTTATTTATAGTCTCAATATAGTCAACCGCTTTCGGTATACTTTGGAAACTGAATAAGTTTCTTTGAGACTTACTACAACACAATACTTTATTGGTAATCAATTGTGTTTCTCCAAAATAATAATAATTGGGTCTTCCAGAGCTCTCAATTAATTTGGTACTACCACATATTCATCAACATCCATATGGTGAATATCTCTTTTAAAGAGAAAGTTATACCATTATGGTTATGGTCAAAATTATATGCAAGATCCGTTTCTTGCATTATTGTTGTCTTTTAATAATCACAATGCCAAAATATTTTGGCATACAATAAGTACGTGACCAATGACCATTCATGCCATAATAATGATATTATTTTCTTATATCATCTCAAACCTCCTTCTAGAGGTGAGTGTGGTATATTCACTACCACTAGCACGTTCATATTCTTCCAAGAATGAATATGTATTCATAAATAAGATGTTGTCACATTCACATCACGAATGGACCATAATCATCTATATGTGCTTTATAAAATCTCATGTCAAATCGATGACAAATATTACTTTCACAGAGTGAAATATTATTTTGAGAATCCTTATTATTCTCATCACAATGATGAAAATTATAATTTCATCTATTGCCACGTCCACTTCCATTGATACCTTCCGGTAATAATTTTGTCTTCTTTCAGACTTAGCACATATTGCTATCACATTCTCTAAAGGGAATGAGAATGGAGCAAATTCAATGGGACGAGTTTTCACTTCTTGTGCTCACGATCATACATGACTTTGATCATGGCAAGACATAGAAATGTTACCACTTCGGGTGGTTATATTTCTTACAAACTCCATTAGAGTTGTAATTAAAATTTATTGTCTTTGCTTATATTTAAAATTAAATTATTGAATAAAAGGGAAAAATACGAAAAAATACTTACCTTAAATCCAGAATTTAAGCATGAAGGAAATTCATAGAACAATTGACAATCATTATAATCGATCTCAAAGCTTCAACTCAATTGGTTAGAGTCTCGTGCTGATAACATGTTGTAAAATAATAAAATGAAGAACAAGAATATTGCAGAGAAAAGTAGGGAGAGAGAATTCTTATTGATTTGGGATGAATTACAATAGAATAGAACCCTCTATTTATAGGAGAGGGTGACTTAGCCACCAAGCAATGAACCCTAGAATCTCTCTAAATATAGACATTCACCATAAATACAATTCTATTTATAACAATTTCCACATTGATCGAAGAATGTGTTATTTTTTCTTCTTTTTTCTCCTCCTCCTTCCTACTCTTCTTCTCCTTTTTCCTCTTTCTCATTCTTCTTCTTGCAATAAATTATGAGTACATAACTAAAATATAAAAAAATTTAAATATGTTAAAAAAATTTGAAGTCTTATTACTTTATTTGTGGTTAGAATTGGATGGTAATATTCCACTGAGCCTATATCCCTAGCTAATTTGATTTGGTTTGCTTGTAAAACATTGAAGAACACAATTGTTGAGATTGAAAAAAAAAATGGGTCTATTTATATCTACTTCATTTTTTACAATTTTAATGAATTTTTACATACAATTTTTTACTCCGCGTCGAAAGTTGTGGGTTCAGTTGAACCCGTAGTTATTACTGAAAATACACATATAAAAATATTTTTTCCACGGGAGTGGGGGCAGAAAAAAGGAAAAAAATAAAAATTTAAAATTACAAAAAAAAAGTAAAAAGAAAACTATTTTTGTGTGTGTGTTGGGGTTGGGGTGCAGAAAAACGAAAAAGAAATAGAAATTTAAAATTATAAAAAAAAGTAAAAAAAGAAAACTGTTTTTTGTGGGTGGGGGTGGGG